AGAATCTCACAAGAATACTTAAAACACAAATTAATCGAAACCAACAAGAAAATATCCACAAGAACACAATATTCACAATTAAACCAAAGTTAATCCTAAAACCTCGGTTACAAAATCATTTGTGATTCCCGGCAACGGCGCCAAAAATTGATCGGTTTCGTCGACTATCAATAATAATCAACCTTTGCAATAGCACAAATCATTGTAAAATAGGACTATTGGACGGGTAAGTCAAACCATTGGGATTGCTAGTTCATGGTAACCAAGGTCTTTAAATTCACTTTTAGTTTGATGAAAGGGGTATAGAGTTTTGATTGGTTTGTCACTTGAAAACTAGGAATTAGAGATTGCATAAAACATTAATTGCAAGGAATTACAGAGGTGAAAATAATATGGAGAGGACTAGGAAAGTGAATCCACTACCTACCCTATTAACATGCTAGTTGAGATTAACTTGGGGGAATAAAATATATATTGGTCATGATATGTAGCAACACATGGTTGCTACATTATCTCAAGAAATTCATTAAATCATAGGCAAGAATAACCTATCAAAGGTTCACATGCTTGAACTACCTAAACTAGGGTGTAGCCTTAGACATGCTCACTAAGCTAGAGATTATCAAGCCCTCAATTAAATGATACAAGCACATGAAGCTAAAAATCAAGATTAATCCATCAAAGGGAGGTCCTAAGCTATGGACTAATAGGTTCTCATACAACATGCCATTAAAACTATTCCACGATCTCCTTTCCATTGTCACTATGAAAATGCAAACAATATGACCATGAGAGGAAACAATCTACGACAAGATAATTAACTCAAAAAATGATCATTTATAGATATTGAAGTTCATTACAACATGTGCTCTAGATCATGGAATAACCACATATACATTTCGTTCCCCAAATTAAAATCAACACAAGAACATGCTTACTAGAGATGACTTCATCACCTCCCTAGATAGGGAGTTAATTGCCCATGGATGCAATAGAGGAAGGAGAAAGGATGAAGAAGCCCTCCATTTTCGCAGTTAAAGCTCAAAAACAACCCATACACTCAAGAACTCAATATTTCTCTCTCTAAACCTTACAAAAATATGAGATCCCCTTTTACAAAGCTCAAGCCCTCTATTTAACACCCAAAAATGACCTCTCCACCCCTCCATTTTCGTGGTTTTCATCCCTTGGAGATTCAGCACCACATATTGGGTCAAAGGGGACAGCCTTGAAGGAAACAACGCAGACCATACCCACTTATCTGCAGATCGGCCAGCACCCACAGGTCTCTGGTCACTTTGGCGGGCACCCGCGACTTCACGAGGGCACTGTCCTTTTTGGAGGGCGCCCGTGGATTCTGGGCGAGCGTCCGCGGTGCTTGATGGCGGGGCCCCGCGCTGGCGAGATGCTACTGTCCAAATGGGCAGGCGCCCGCGGATTCTGAGCGAACGCCCGCATGCCATACTTCAACCTTTCATCATTTTATCTTCTACTGCTTTTGGATTGGCCCGCTGATGTGGTTTTTCTTCCTGGAACTTTTTGCATAGAGTTTCATGAGTTCCATGGATCATTAACTTGGTTAAAACGAATGTCCCTGGCAACAGCGTACTTTGATCTTCAAAAACTTATCAAAGCGTCACTTTTAACTCTCTTTGAGGAACCAACCTAAAAATAGACAAAAACATACAATTACGGCTAATATATACAATATAATCAACTAATGAACTTAACTAATGCAAATAAAGACGCTTGAATATGCAATATTCGGCGCTTATCAATTTTCACTCTTCTGGTTTATCAACGTAGGGCATTATCTTAGTTTTATTTCTTATTTAGATTTAGATATTATTTATTTCAGTTTATGGGTTTTATTTGGAAGTCCATGATACAGATTCCCGAGGTATACATTGGATGATTATTAATTATTATTTTATTTGGAGAGTTAATGATATCAATGGATTTTATAATTAATTGTTATTTAGTTTCTCGACTATTTATTTATTTTATTATTTCCTCTTATATTATGTGCTTATCTATTATTAATTGTTCTGATATCCCGGTCTTCGGGCGAGAACCTGATCAACCCGCCCGTTCTAAAATTGAGGGTACACATAAGCGACCAATATCTGATCCACCAAACCAGTAAGAACAACCAAGCTCCTGAACAGAAGCAATTTGTAATAAGAGAGGGCAAAGAGTCTGAGAAGATCAGCATATATAGTAGCCACCATTCCGGAACCCATATAACTTCATCAAACCATAAATCATCACCCTGATCCAAAAAGTGGAAATCAGCAACATCCTGGAATTTAAACCTTAGGACGCCAGTAACATCCAGTACACAAACTATTGACAAGGGTATCCAAAACCCAAAGGTTAAGAAACCAAACCACATCACAAAGAGCGGAATGGGGGCGACTAAATATGCTGATCGTGAGAAAAATTCTGCAGATCTAGAGAACCTCTACAAAGAGAGGAAACCAAAAAAAGCTAAAACTCTGCCCCAAGGAGGGGGAATTTGGAACATATAATTTTAGGAGATGATAGAGAAAGAGGAAGAGAGAGGGACGAACACCCCCATTAGATACAATATATAGAATTTTAATTACATCCCTTCATACGCAATATTCCACAAATCTCTACAAGATCATTTATTTATTTATTTTTCAATCACATGTGATATTCCAAACCTATGAATTTCATCCTTTCTCCCACCTAAAAAATACTGTAATAATTCTTTTCTTTTTTAAAACACTAACAAGGTAAACAATTAATTTTTAAAAAATAATTAATTTAATTTAATTAAAGAGTGACTTATTTTAAATGGATAAATGTCAATAGTTAAAAATATAATTCAATAAGAAAATAAGAAGAGTACATGTTTTATAGGTGGGTGGACTTCTATCAATATCGTATCCCACAGTCAAACCTTGAAGAGATTTTAGCCATTATAACTACACTATCTATATTATTTTGTAGGTAGATAACAATAAAATTTTAATTTTTATACGACAATTTCCAAATTTACAATGTTAAAATTGACTATTGTGTTCTATTAGTACGTAGATCACATTAAAATTATAATTGTTATGTAAAAAATTTCAAATTTACAATGTCAAAACTGATCTGAGTGTGTTTTTTGAACGGTTGACAGAGAGTTTAAATTATTACACCTACTTTTTATCTCGTATATATAAAAAAGTTGTTGTGACATCATTCATGGTCTCTCTCAAAACTTCCAAAATCTCTCCCCATTTCCCACCAACTAGAAGAAAAAAGTGATGTCTGATAATCTAATTTATTACTTAATTTTAAATGAATTAAGTGCATTGATAAAAAGAATTTTGTGTATCATCTAAAAAATCATTGTCACTTAAAATGAAGCAAAAGTTTAAGTGATAATGTCAGCAGTTATCACTTAGACTATATTTGTTTAGATGTAAAATATGTTTAAAAATATATATTATTTTATATTTGTTAGTTATTGGTTGTCGTAAAATATTTACGATAAAAAAATTTATTAAAATATAAAAAATATTACTTACCCATCAATTTTCAACAAGTTATTTTATACACCCCACCCGATAAACTCAATCTTAACTTCAACCTAAACATTTGCCACACCAAAAACTATATATATATATATATATATATATATATATATATATATTACCTAAAATATATATATAATTAAAATATATATAATAGAGATTTAAAAAATAATAATAATTTACAATTACCGTTCACAAACTGCAGCACATAAAATTAAATTCCTCCAATTTTCAATTTTATCTGACAACAATAATCCCTAAAGAAATTTTATCTCATATTCTTAACTTCTTTTCTCTCTCATGACTCTGGTTGTTGTCCTGGTCTCTCACACGTGCGATACAAAATTATAAAATCTTTATACCCTGTCCCCACCCTCTATGCTCATTGCTCAAAACCACCCAGCTTTATTTTTTGATAACCAAAATTAATACATTAAATGATTCAAGCATAATTTCCGAGGGGTTGATTGGTATTTGTAATACAGAGAGAAAGAAGATGGTGATGATGGGTGTAGTGAGGCTGTGAGAGAATTGGGGTAAGATTTTCGGAGATAATTTTGTCCGCTAAATTATTTTATTCTACTTTTAGTAAAAGTCTCTTAAATTTGACAAAATTTTATTATTTTTTAATAAAAGTCTCCTAAATTTGAAAAAAAATTCTTTGAAAAGTCACTTGTTAACTATTAAATTTTTAATTTAGGGATTATTTATATTTTCTTAACCTTGTTTAGGTTTGGACACTAAAATTTAATTTTTCAAAAAATAAATTATTAATAATTTTTCCGATAAATACCAAATTCACAATTTTGTCCTTACGAATTGTTTCATAATGTCCATATCAACCTTAAATTTTGGCTTTAAGAATTGTTCTTTAACATCAAAGGCATTTTTCTTCTGCATCATGTTGAATGGCAATTTCACTTCCTCTTCATTTTTTTTTTTTTTTGTTTGTTTTTTTTTGGTCTAGTCTTTTGAGTTTTGATGTCCTAGCTACGACTTGAGCAATGGGCATTTATGCTTTTCTTCTCTACACCCAATGCCTTTTTAAAATTATTATCAAATGTTCATAAATAAAGAAACAAAAAGAAAAATGTAAAATTATACATTTCGCCTTCGTCTCGCTAAATTTTCCTCTGCTTTCCAATGTAACCAAATAATGCGGGAAAAATTATATCATTACATTGCCTTTTGGAACCTAAAAAAATTGTTCAAACACAATGGTTTTTTTTTTTTTTTTTTCAAACATTAGATTTGAAGCCGGAGAAAATAAGGTGGCTTTTTATGTCCCTTTCATACCCTTTATGTGCGCCCTAAGACAATGTCACAATCCTAGTGAACCCTTTCCATGAACTCGTACCATATACTGCACTATCGACATGTTTCCACAAAATTCAATAGAAAATTTGCAGAAATGCATTCTAAACTCGAAACTACGACCAATTCCATAACTAAGTACAAAGATCAATTTTATCAATAGAACTGAAAACGTCACTAATCCAATATTGATTTCAACAAAAGAATCCAAAAAGTTTCAGCAGCGAATGGACCTCCTTAGCTTACCCTGTTTCTGCAATTGTTTCCTCAGAGCATCTTTAGAATTTAAATTTGATAAACCGGGACAAACACTTCTGAAATACCAATAGAGAGCAAAGCAAATACACAAAGGTGTCTGTCTCAATTTGAATTAGCATACAATGGGTAAAAGAAAGAAAAGAAAAAAAAAGAGAAAAAAAAGACTATGAATCACAACAAAGAGGCAAAAAAAGTGGAAAATCAGACAACTGGAGAGTTAAAGACCAATTTGTCAAAATTGTTTACCATTTCGAATTCAACATGCACAACCACCTTGTCGGTCTGGTTCTGAGACAGCATCAGGGATACCCTGGAAGTATCTGCACATTAAAATAAAAAAAATAAAAAATAAAAAGGAAAGGAATTAGGTGGCCAAGAGGTTCTTTGGTGCAAAGAAAAGCGCGAAAGTAACAAAAGAAGAAAAGGCCAGGTACCACAATATAGATTTTCTGATTAATAGAACAGTAAACTAAGAGGAATATTGTTCTAATAAGTTACAATGTGCCACCTACATGCCAAACATAGTACTTGCTTCTATCTGTTCAAGACAACACATTGATGCCAAAATAACTCACAAATTGGTCCGATACTGAAGCAACGTAAGGAAATTTAACCACACCACCTTGTTTCACACAGCATTTTAACACAATTTGTAATACAGAATTAATGTATCACCAAATCATGATATAATAATGAGGTCATTAATCAAAATCATATATTTACCTTTTATTAAAAGAATTTAGAAAACATGCACCTAGAAAAAATAAATAAATAAATAAAAATGCAGACTGATTTAAATGTTATAAAAAAAACACACCCAAGCAAATAATATTAAGGATTGATGATGATTATGACAATGCCAAAATAATTATGATGAACCACGCAGGCAATTATCCTAAGAAGCATCGACGCATAAATATCGTTCAAGTTCAAAAGAAATATGAAAGATTCCCATGCATACTAAAGAGGATTAAGCACATATTCCATTACGGTGGGGGGGAAAAGGAAAAGAAAGAAAAAAAACCTGCCTGATAAGAAATGGGCACAGATGCTAAAATTTCAAGAGATTAGTTTTTGTTCAGACAAAAATCAACGGACTTGATTCAGGTTGAACAAAACTGAATCATTTAACATACCAGCTTTATACGAGTCATTTTTGCCATGAAATTGGGTACTTTCTACAAAAGAAAAATATTTAAAACATTTACTTGTGAAGTAATTTAACTCTTAAGTTTTACAGAAACAATTTAAACCAACGGAAAATTCAAGATGATCACTTCCGATATTTGGATCAATAATGCAAAAAGGGGGAGAGATAAATGAAAATGTAATTAATAGGATTAGAGTAAGTTGAACAAAATATACAGAGGCTAGTGATGTTTTACATGATAAAAGAATCCGAAAAAGTTAAAAGATGTTGAGAGAGAGAGAAAGACAAAGAGAGAGAATATATGAAAACTTATATGTTATTTGGTAAGTAATACAATAATACAATGGTATTTATATAGGAAAAGTTAAGGGAGTAGGTGAGTGGAGAACAAGAAAACTCAATACATGGTAATTCTATATACGGTAATGAGGGGTAGGTAACAACTCATACAATACTAACTGTACACGTGTGACAACTCGTACAATACTGTACAACACTCCCCCTCAAGCTGGAGAGTAAATGTCAATAACTCCCAGCTTGCTACATATGAAATCAATAGAGTTCTTGGGAAGTGCCTTAGTGAAGATGTCTACCAGCTGTCTACCAGAAGGAACAAAAGGTGTAACAATCTCATTCGAATCAACTTTAGATCGAATGAAATAGCAATCTACTTCAATGTGTTTAGTCCTCTCATGGTAGATGGGATTGCTAGCAATATGAATAGCTGCCTAGTTGTCACAATGGAGAGTAATTGGGTACTGGACTGAAATCCCAAGTTCCTGTAAAAGAGTTTTCAACCAAGTAACTTCACAGGCAATGTATGCCATGGCACGATACTCTGCTTCAGCACTGGAACAAGCCACAACTGACTGTTTCTTACTCCTCTGAGTTACTAGATTTCCTCCTATGAAGGTGCAGTAACCCGTGGTGGACCGTCGATCAAAAGGAGAACAGGCCCAATCTACATCCCTGTGGGCGGGTGTGACGTGGGCGGGTGCGAGAGACACTAACAGACTACCACACTAGCGAGTTACGGGTGCACAGTCCCACATCGCCTGGGTAGAAGAAAGGTAAAGTGCTTATATGTATGTGTGTCACCTCCAATTGGTATGAGGCCTTTTGGGGTGAAGCCCAAGAGCAAAACCGTGCAGGTTCAGGCCCAAAGCGGACAATATCATACCATGTGATGGAGTGGGTCGTTACAAATGGTATCAGAGCCTGACCAGGAAGTGTGCCGACGGGGAGGTCGGGCCTCCAAGGGGGGTGGATTGTGATGACCTTGTGGGCAGGTTTGTCGTGGGCGGGTGTGAGAGACACTGTCAGGCTACCACACTAGTGAGCTACGGGTGCACAAGTCCCACATCGCCTTGGTAGAGGAAAGGTGAAGTGCTTATATGTAAGTGTGTCATCTCCAATTGGTATGAGACCTTTTAGGGTAAAGCTCAAGAGCAAAACCGTGTGGGCTCGAGCCCAAAGCGGACAATATCATAAAGCAGACCACATCCCGAAGCACCCTTGAGATACTTCAAGATGCGTACAACTACCTCCATGTGATGTACCAGGGGACTGGTCATGAACTAGCTCACAACACTGATTGCATAGGAGATGTCTGAACGAGTGATTGTGAGGTAAATAAGTTTACCTACAAGTCTCTGATACATCCTTGGATCATCGAGAGGGTCACCATCATCCACCTTAAGTTTTACATTAGTCTCCATGGGTGTAATTACAGGTTTCGAACCAAGATATCCAGTATCTTGTAAGAGATCAAGAGTATACTTCCGCTGAGAAATATTAATGCCTTGCTTCGACTGAGCCATCTCAATTCCTAGAAAATACCGAAGTTTGCCCAAATCCTTAGTAAGGAAGCTAGAACTCAAATGATGGATTAAAACTTGTATCCCATCTTTGTCACTGCCAGTGACAACAATATCATCTACGTACACCACAAGAATCACAATACCACGTTTCGTTTTCTTAAAAAAAAAAGAGTGGTCAGCTTGGCTTCTGGTCATACCATGAGCTACTATGCTTTACTGAACTTATCAAACCATGCACGAGGGGACTGTTTGAGGCATAAATAGACTTTTTGAGATAACACACACATTCCCCCTTATACTCAAACCCAGGTGGCTGAGTCATATAGACTGTCTCATTAAGGTCACCGTGCAGAAAGGCATTTTTAACATCAAGCAGATGAAGTGGCCAGTCTAGATTACTTGCAAGAGAGATTATCACACAAACAGAATTTAGTTTGGCCACATGAGAGAACATCTCAGTATAATCAAGGCCATAAGTCTGAGTGTAGCCTTTAGCAACAAGTCGAGCCTTGAGACGGTCAATAGTACCATTAGGGGCTTCTGTTTAACAGTAAAAACCCAACGACAAAAACCTGAGTATCAGCAGGCTTAGGAACAAGGTCCCAAGTATGATTCAATTTTAAGCGTTTATTTCTTCTTCCATAGCTTTCCTCCACCCTGGATGAGAAAGTGCCACTCTATAGGACTTAGGAAGAGTAATAGAGGACAACGACAAAGAAAAAGCTTGAAAGGAGGAGGACAATTTATTATACGATACAAAATTAGAGATAGGGTGATTGGTACAAAACTATTTACCTTTCCAAACAGCAATAGGTTGATCAAGATCAGAGTCTGGAGAGATGGAAGAATCTCCAGGCATTGAAGCGACTGGTGGAAGTGGCTAGGCTAGGTTTACTACTTCAGTCGTTGGAACATGATTAACTACTCTTTTCCGGCAACGAGCATAGATACGAAGAGCTAGTGGGATGTCGAATCAAAAACTGGAGTTGAAAGAACAAACTGTTAAAGAACAGAGTCCTCCAGGCGACTACATTCCTAAGAATAATAAGGAACATCCTCAAAGAAAGTTACATCTACACACACAAATTGTTTATGAAGAGTTGGATTGTAACATTTATATCCCTTCCGAGTGCGAGAATAACCTGAGAAAATACATTTGTGAGCACGAGAATCAAGTTTGTCTCGCTCGGGCTTAGATTATGAACAAAACAAACACACCCAAACACCTTTGGAGGAATAGAAAAAGGATTTTTGTCAGAAAACATCATTTGGAAGGGTGATTTTCCTTAAAGGACCATAGAAGACATGCGGTTTAAAAGATGAGCAGCAACCAGAACTGCATCTGCCCAAAAATGTTTTGGAACATGCATTTGAATTGTTAAGGCACGAGCTATAGCTAGGAGTGGACTATTCTTCCGTTCAGTAACTCCATTTTGTTGAGGGGTATCAACACAAGATGTTTGATGGATAATGGCCCTCGACTCAAGAAACTTTTGAAAAACATTAAGTTTATATTCAAGGACATTGTCAGTTCTAAGAACAAGTAATTTTGCATCAAACTGATTTTGAATTTCAGCATAAAAGGATTGAAAAATAGAGAATACTTGAGATCTATCTTTAAGAATATAAACCCAAGTTAAACATGAATAATCATCAATAAATGACACAAAATAACGAGCACCAAATAAACCAGTAGAACGAGCTAGTCCCCAAACATCCGAATGTACTAACTCAAAAGGTTTTAAACTTTTATCAAAACGAGACTTAAAAGTAGCCAGACAACGTTTACTAAGTTCGCAAGTAGTACAATTAAACTTAGAAAAATCAACTAAAGAAGGGACCAAGGCTCGAAGACTATTTGAAAAGGGATGTCTAAGCCGACAATGCCACTGGTAAACGGAAGAGGAGATGGAATGTAGAGCTGTCGGAACAATAGTTGGCTGGAAGTAGTAAAGACCATCCTTCTCAAACCCCCCACCAATCGTCTTCTTCGTTTTGAGATCCTGAAAGACACAACGGGAAGGAGAAAAAGTAACTGAGCAATTTAAATCTGATATGATTTTGCGAACTGACAATAAATTGAATGAAAATTGAGGGATATATAAAACTAATGAAAAAGTGATACCCGAAATGCGGAAGGTACCAATTCCATGAACAAGTGATTAAGCACCATTCGCTATAGTAACAACCGATGGTGAGAAAACATGAGGAATATCAGAAAGAAGAGATGGGTTACCTGTCATGTGATCGGATGCCCCTGAATCAAATGATCCAAGGTGTAGAAGATGAAGCATAGAGACACGTATTACCTGAAGTAACGATAGTAGCGGTGGAGGAGGGCTGATTTGCA